AACACGCCACTTTGGAGTAACAGTTATGGGACCCGGCCCCTTGCCATGAGCCTCCCATTCAGCACACTGGAGGAGGGATTGCTGGATACCGGAGACATGTGGCAGGGCCAGTCCCCTTCTTCCCACCGCCTGTATCTCTATCCTCCTCTCACACTCTGTCCTGATGGGAAATGTATCAGAGAGGGAGAGAGAGAGAGAGAGAGAGAGAGAGAGAGAGAGAGAGAGAGAGAGAGAGAGAATTCAACCTTTAGATGGTGCCCACCCGCCCGGACAGGGCAATCTGCTTTGTTCAGTCCACCAAGTCAAATGCTTATCTCTCCTAGAAACATCCTCACAGACACCCAGAAATAACGTTTCTCTAGATTATTTGGGCGTCCCATGGCCCAGGCAAGTTGACATGCCAAGTTGACCATCACAGGGGAAAGTTATTTGAAAGACTAAGTCACATGACAAAGGCAAGTAATGTGTTAGTGTAATAATGAGAGGAGGTAACTGGTAGCAAAAGAAAGTCTTGCAGATGCTCTAAGATGAAGAATTCCACATGGCTGTCCCCACATGTTCTCTATAGGAAAGCACAGCGGCGCTGCCACCCACAGTCCAGGAGGAGGCAAGAGGGAGCTTGGGAGGCTGAGCATCTCCCCTGCTGTTCAGAGGCGAGGCTGGGACCCCCAGGGGAGGGCAGAGCAGTACACAGAGCATCCTGAAGGGAGGACCTGACCATGCCCAGCTGAGTGGGAGCTCTAGAAATGAGAAGGTGACTGCTGAGAACAGTAAAAATAAATATTGTGCAGCATTCCCAACCCTACTCCTTTTTATTTTAATGTCATTTTATTTGTGACAACATTTTACCTACTAAACACTCCAGGTATTGAAGGTGGAAGGAAAAGCCACATAGAAGTTCCAATTCATTCCTGGGGCTCAAGAGAAGAAGGTGGTGATGCCCATGTCCTAATTGGGATTTTTTGTTTCCCCTATGAAATATGACCAGTGTACAGCTCAAGAGGCTTCCATCCTGCCTTTACGTTAGAATAATCTAGAGAATTTTCAAACATGACATCAGAATGAAGGAGGGGTGGTGGACTGGACATTTGTGTTTTTCAGAAGCTCCCAAGTGAGGGTGCAGCAGGATGGAGAACCCCTGTGTTAGCACGTAGCACTCCAGCACACCGTGGGATGAAGTCACGGGCTGGAGAGATATCTTATGTACAGGTTTGCCCAGCATGTAGTGCTTAGAACTTTCTTTCAACTTCACCCCTGGAGAAAGTGCTTGAAAACTGAAGTGGTCTGCTCCGCCCTCTAGTGGTGGACAGGTTGCAGAACACCTTCAAAGACCAATTACTATGTAAAAGCTCTCCAGAAGGTACTGGAGGCCAGCCTGTAAATAACCTGAGCACTGCATACCCAGTTGTCTTCTCAGCCTTCTTTTGCTGCTTTCTAGGACAGGCATGTGAACCTTTGGTCAAGAGTCTGTAGTCATATTCAGCAGGAGGGCTTCCCAGGAAGGAGTCAGTGCGTTTAAGAACAGATTTCCCGCCACACTAAATGTTAGGGTGCCAGCAGCATCCAATAGGCCACTCTAGATGTTTTCTTCCTCTTGTACCCCAGATGTTTCCCCAGATGCATGGGACACCTGTGCAGAGCAAGCTTGGCAAGGCTCTGGGTATTAAACTCCCTCAGGGTAAATATTCAAATACAATTCCACAGTAACAATGCAACTCAAATGACCCAGTACGCACCAGAGGTGTTTTATCAAGCCTCATCAAGGTAAAGAAAGTTACTTTTGGCCCAAGCTGGTTTTGGCTCAGTGGATAGAGCATTGGCCTGCGGACTGAAGGGTCCTGGGTACGATTCTATTCAAGGGCACATGCCCAGGTTCCAGGTTCCATCCCCATAAGTGGACCTGCAGGAGGCAGCCAATCAATGATTCTCTCTCATCATTGATGTTTCTATCTCTCTCTCCCTCTCCCTTCCTCTGGGAAATCAATAAAAATATATTAAAAATAAATAAATAAATAAGAAAGTTACTTTTGTTTCTGAGTTTTGTTGTTGACAGTGATGGTGTTTGGTAATTTTTTGGATATTTTAAAAAATACATTTTTATTGAGGAGCCCCCTGGCAGTTATGTTTCCCAGGGCACGGTCTTGGGGTAATCTTTGCATCAGGGCCCCAAATGGAGTGGCTCTTTGCACTGCTGGCATCGGTCATGTGACTTTTCTCAGACCCAGTGTTGCCTCATTGCTGTCACCTCTGGCCCGTCCTGTCAAACTCTGTAACACACTCAGGACAAGTTAGAACACAGACCAGAAACTGAAAAGCTTTCTCGTGTATCCACATTGCATTTCGGGTTCTGTTTTACTTAGAAAAAATGGAGAGAAGATGTAATCAGGCAATTCAGAAATGATTGTCCCCAAACCGAAATATCAGGAAAAAAACCAACACTGAAGGACTGCCTGTGCATGAATCTGTGACAACCTGCTTTCCTGTCCTCCATCGAGTCAGAACTAGCTATCCTTAGGCTCTTCCTCATCAAACCAGTGATGCCTGTAATAACACTTTACTTCTTGTAGATAGATTGCTAAAGACATACTTTCCCCACAACTTCAGATTGAGAAAACCCATCTTGTTAAAGTGGATTTAACAAATGGGAACCTAACAAACCACTATCAATCAGAGAAATGCTAATTAAAAGCAAATATTTCACAGCTATCAAGTGGCGAAGGTTTAAAGTCTAATAGTGTGATGATGACGAAAAGGAAACTCTGAGGTTAACGCCGGAGTTTGCTGCTCTGAACAACTACTTCAAAAGTGAAACCAAAAAACGGAAGGGACATCACCCAGAACCACAGGAACGCTGGCTGAGTGGAAGTCCTACAACTAGGAGGAAAGAGAAACGCATACGGACACTCAGAGGAGGCGCAGTGCTGAAGTCAAATCCTGAGGTGCGGAGTGCGCGGAGCGGGCTGGCGGCGGAGGGCGCGGTTGGCGTTTTCAATCGGGAGGGAGTCGCAGACTCTGAGCTCCAGATCCGGGCGAGTCTTTAGGGACCCAGACTCAAACGGGAGAAGCGGGACTGTCTGGCTTCGGTCAGAGCGAGTGCAGCTTTCTCTCTGAGCTTTGCAGCGGGTGCTGGGACTCAGAGAGGCAGAACCCCTGGGGACAGGACTGAGAACCGCCATAACTGCTCTCTCCGGCCCACCCTGTTGATCCTGTGCGACCCGCCCCGCCCAAGCCCTGCACGCAGGCATTCGCTGGGTAGCCTCAGGCAAAGGCTAGATTAGCACCTCCCCAGAGGACAGAAGTTCTCTCACTGCTGACACAGCTGATTCTCAGAGCCACTTGGCCTGGAGGTCAAACCCTCCCTGGAATTAGCTACAACAATCAAGAGTTAACTATAAGACTGCGAACAAAGACCACTAGGGGGTGCACCAAGGAAGCATAACAAAATGCGGAGACAAAGAAACAGGACAAAATTGTCAATGGAAGATATAGAGTTCAGAACCACACTTTTAAGGTCTCTCAAGAACTGTTTAGAAGCCGCCGATAAACTTAATGAGATCTACAAGAAAACTAATGAGACCCTCGATCTTATATTGGGGAACCAACTAGAAATTAAGCATACACGGACTGAAATAACGAATATTATACAGACTCCCGACAGCAGACCAGAGGAGCGCAAGAATCAAGTCAATGATTTGAAATGCGAGGAAGCAAAAAACACCCAACCGGAAAAGCAAAATGAAAAAAGAATCCAAAAATGCGAGCATAGTGTAAGGAGCCTCTGGGACAGCTTCAAGCATACCAACATCAGAATTATAGGGGTGCCAGAAGATGAGAGAGAGCAAGATATTGAAAACCTATTTGAAGAAATAATGACAGAAAACTTCCCCCACCTGGTGAAAGAAATGGACTTACAGGTCCAAGAAGCGTGGAGAACCCCAAACAAAAGGAATCCAAAGAGGACCACACCAAGACACATCATAATTAAAATGCCAAGAGCAAAAGATAAAGAGAGAATCTTAAAAACAGCAAGAGAAAGAAACTCAGTTACCTACAAGGGAATACCCATACGACTGTCAGCTGATTTCTCAACAGAAACTTTGCAGGCCAGAAGGGAGTGGCAAGAAATATTCAAAGTGATGAATACCAAGAACCTACAACCAAGATTACTTTATCCAGCAAAGCTATCATTCAGAATTGAAGGTCAGATAAAGAGCTTCACAGATAAGGAAAAGCTAAAGGAGTTCATCACCACCAAACCAGGATTATATGAAATGCTGAAAGGTATCCTTTAAGAAGAGGAAGAGGAAGAAAAAGGTAAAGATACAAATTATGAACAACAAATATGCATCTATCAACAAGTGAATCTAAGAACCAAGTGAATAAATAATCTGATGAACAGAATGAACTGTTGATTATAATAGAATCAGGGACATAGAAAGGGAATGGACTGACTATTCCTGGGGGGGAAAGGGGTGTGGGAGATGCGGGAAGAGACTGGACAAAAATCGTGCACCTATGGATGAGGACAGTGGGTGGGGAGTTAGGGCGGAGGGTGGGGCGGGAACTGGGAGGAGGGGAGTTATGGGGGGGAAAAAAAAAAGGAACAAATGTAATAATCTGAACAATAAAGATTTAATTAAAAAAGAAAAAGAAAAAAAAAAGAAAAGGAAACTCTTAGGCTGCAGATGAGATTGGACACTGACTTGACCATTCTGGAGTGCGATTTGGTAACAGCTTGTGGAGCCAAAGATGCACCTACCCATCAAGACAGAAACGCCACTGTTAAGTAGGAACTGTGCAGAGATTCTCAAACTGTCTATAAGAAAAATCAAAGTTTTCTTTAAAAAACTCCAACTTGTTGAGGCTCAATACTTTTATAAAATACAATAAAAATGAAAAAAGAAAAAACGGACATATAAATTAAAAGCCTGAGTAGTTTTGAAATTCTTAGACTGAATAGACATAAAAGTACTCAGCTGTGTTGCTTTTACAGTTTGCAGATGCTGTTCTCAGTTTCTGCACTCACCTGGTCCTGGGCCGGAAGGAGTGCGCTGTCCCCAGTGTGAGGAGCAGGGGCCAAAGGTTATGCCAGCCCACAGCAACGAGGAGATGCATTGAAGGAAGGACGTTCGCTGCAGCACTATTTTAAATGTAAAATTTTAAAAATTCACTCGCATAGGGGGAAATGAGCATTATAGTCAGACAATGAAATACAACACAACAATGAAAATGAATAAACTAGATTTATACATATAAACATGGATATATCTTGAAATCAAAACAGAGTGAAAAATATTGTCAAAAGAATATTTCTTGTATAAGCCATTTATATAAATTTCAAAAGTAGTCAAAGTGACATTAGATAAAGGTCTTGTGCATATTAAGGAACGGGAGATCGCACACCACCTTCAGGTTAGTGATTTTCCTCTAAGAGAGTGAGAAAGAATGGGAGACCAGGGAACTTGGCTTTTATCTGTAATGTCTTATTTCTATAAAACATTGAAAAAGATAGTATATCATATAAATATTTGCTAAATCTAGGTATTAGGTACCTGGGTGCCATGTTATTTCCCTTTTTAAAATGTTTGAATTACTTTATGATTTTTAATTTAAAAAGACAATGAAAACAGTTCAAGGAAATTCACTATGTCTTTGAAAAATTGAAACAGTTGTGTCAAAGTTTATTTGGGCAAAACACATGTAGCTTTAGAGACATAAACTTAATTTAGACTTTAGGTTCACAGAACAATTGAGGGGAAGGTATGGAGATATCCCACATATGCCCTCCCTACATGCTAATGACCCTCTCCCATCCCCCATTATGAACACCCCCTCCTTTCCCCCCCCCCGCCCCCCCCCCCCGAAGTGGTACATCTGTCACAACTGATGAACCTGCACTGACACATCACTACAAGTCCATAGTTTAAACTAAGGTTCCCTCTTGGTGTTGTGCAGTCTATGGTTTGGACAAATGTATTAATTATGTAGTTTTTGTTAGAAAATTCTGTCTTAAAACTGGAATTATCCAAGACTTAATGGGAAAAGCTGCTCCCTTCTGAACAAAAAACATCTGTGTCTCAGCCCCAGCTCTTCCTGTGCTAATGGGAATATCAATCTCTGCAGTTACAGAGGGAAGCAGGTCACCTCCTCCCACCCCTCATCATGAAGGAACCAGCTCACAGATGCAGTGAATGCACCAAGGCCACACTGATTGTTCCTGAAACGACTGGCATTAGACATTCTCTCCACTAGGATAGTCGTGAATCATTGTGAAGCAAACAAATAGAAATCAGGGTATGGAAACTGCTCAGTGCTTCTGCAGGTCTGGGTTTGAACTCCAGCCTCGGCCTCTGCTGTGACCTGCGTGACCCTGGGCCTACGTTTACTTACCTCCAAGTAGGGGGAAGAATCAATTACACATACAGAGTCCCCAGCATAAGATGGACCCAGAGTGCCTTAAAAATGTTATTTTCTTTCACTGTCTTTAACTACCGAGGCACAGGGCATAGAAGACTCTATGCTTGCCTAGAGGTGGTGAGGCAAACGGGTAACCAATATTTGCAATAGAGTGAGACAAGGACCAATCTGGACACATTCTGGGTACTCTGAGGTCATTGAAAAGCAGCACGTAACTACTGCTTTGCTGTGTGGCCATTTAGCAAATCCGGATTTCAATGTCTTCCCTTATAAAATGGTTGTCTGCTCACCATGCTATTAATTCAAAAGTGAGAGCATAAAAAATGAAAGTGTTTGGCCTGTCATAAGCATTGTACTAATAGGAGGCATTGCTCAGTTTGCCCTCCTACATGCCTCACCCGAGAACTATGTTGTAGGGGTTCGATTCCAGTCAAGAGCACATGCCCCATTTGCTGGTTCAATCCCCAGTGGGGTGGGCAGGAGGCAGCTGGTCAATTATTCTCTCTCATCCTAATGTTTCTCTCTCTCTCTCTCTCTCTCTCTCTCTCTCTCTCTCTCTCTCTCTCTCTCCCTCTCCCTCCCTCTCTGAAATCAATTTTAAAAAAATGTGGAAGAGGGAGGCCAATGTTCAGGATCAGAGAAAATTTTGAAGATGCTCCACTGCTGGCTTTGAAGATGGAGGAAGGAACCACAAACCAAAGGAATGCATTTGGGCCCAAGAAACTGGCAAAGGCAAGGACACAGACCTGTCCTATCGTCTCCAGAATAGGTTTGAGAGCCATGCTTAGCACGGCCAGGGATGAAACTGAGGGGGGTTGGTGAGGATTAAAGAAGACAGACAAGAGAGTAAAGCTGGGGCTAGGTGGGACACTGCTCTCGGATGGAGAAACAGTACCACAGCCTGAAAACGGAGTCTTTATTTTATAGCCAGATTCCACAAGCAAGTTAAGAGTGTGGTCAAGATGTTACAATGTTCTTGGGGGATTTGAATCTACTCAATTACATGCACCTGAACTCTATCAAGCTTTGTTTTGGGCACTTGCTGCACCTCCCGCAGTCTATATCCCTTACCCACCTGGGATCACAGGTTTAGGTCAAGCTTACAACTATTGCCTTTGTCTATGATTGTGCTGGGAGGGCTTTGCCCTCCAAGCTGGGACTTGCACATGGCTTTGCCAGGAGAGAACCGTGCCCCCTCATTAGTCCAAGGCTTAAACCTGTCCAAACGCTGTAGCCACTCTCCACAGGTTTGATTTTAGCTCTTAGACCCATTTCAGACTTCTAACCTCCACATGTAAAACAATGCATGTGTGCTGTTTCTAAGCCATTTAAGGTTGAGGTAATTTGTTAACAGTGGCAACAGGAAACTAACACAAACCCCAGCCTCAGTCCTCGGGAGACAGCAGCATGAGGATGGGTGACTGCAGAGGCAGCCCAGAGTGTGAGTCCCGCTTTTCTTCCTTTAAGTGTCACTGTCATCATAACGGAGACACTGACTTAAATGGCCCGTCGTGGTCTATCAGGAGGATGAGGCCTTCACTAAAGCTCTAGAGCAGTGGTTCTCAACCTTCCTAATGCCTCGACCCTTTAATACAGTTCCTCATGTTGTGGTGACCCCCAACCATAAAATTATTTTCGTTGCTACTTCATAACTGTAATTTTGCTACTGTTATGAATCGTAATGTAAATATCTGATATGCAGGATGTATTTTCATTGTTACAAATTGAACATAATTAAAGCATAGGGATTAATCACAAGAACAGTATGTAATTATAGATGTGTTTTCCAATGGTCTTAGGCGACCCCTGTGAAAGGGTCGTTCGACCCCCGAAGGGGTGGCGACCCACAGGTTGAGAACCGATGCTCTAGATCCATCTGGCTCTGGCATGCAAAGGCTGTGCCCATCTCTACACACCAATGGCCCCAGTATATACCATGAGGACACTGAGCATGGATGCCTCCAAACAGCCCCAGCTCCTACCCCTCATTTCTTTTAGGCCAAATACTGTGCACCAACCGTCCTTAATTCCTCCTGATCCGGATTTCAGATGTTTAGATGCACCTGATAAGCTTGTAATCATCTCTCAGGATATAGATTGAAGGTTCTCTTTTGTGGCAAATTAAAGTTTGGGTCCCAGTTTTTCACTTTTCTGTAGTAGCATCCACAGCTCCCCCACGGAAAGGCGGAGTATACCCCCCTGTCCATTGACACTGGGCGTGCTACTTGCTTTGGTCAATGGCATTTAGTGACTGCAGCAAGAACAAAGGCTTGAACAACTTTTGCACAACTGGAGGCTCTGGCTCTTGACTGACCTCTATCTGTGACAGGGGTGGGGAACCTTTTTTATGTCAAGTGCCATTTGGATATTTATAACATCATTCTTGGGCCATACACAATTAGCCTGCTATATTTGGCCTAGCATTTAATTTACTCGCCCTAATGCCTTTGCAGGGCCAGGCCAAATGATTTTGGCCCTCGGGCCAGACGTTCCCCAACCTTGATCTATGGGAACATAATCTGATCTAAGGAGGATGAGAGCTGTGAGAAGCAAACCTGAACCCAATCTGCAGCATGGAGCCTGGAGCCTGGAGCTCAAAGCCTGAAGCCGAACGCAGCCAGGGAATTGGTCATCATCTTGCAGACCATGAGCCTGCAGATTTCTGTTTTAAGCCAGCATGTCTTTGAGCAATTTATTGCATAGCATCATTGTGGCAATAGCTGACTGATACACCTCTCCCCCAGCAGAGCTGACCACATCCTCCTTTGATATCTATCTCCCTACTTGGACTTAAAGTCCTGGAGGGCAGACACTAGCTGTTTGTCGACTTTATATCTATGACCTGTAGGATGATGCTCAGAATTTAGGAGGCTCCTAATACATTTTTGTTTTTAATGAAAAGAAATAATTGAATAAACACATGAATGAATACAAGGAACACACTATTACAGGTTTGTGACCTTGAAGTAGGGGCAGGAGGAAATCACAATTAATGGGCCGTTGCAAACATCATTAAATACATAAGGGCCAAGCTTTGTTGGTTGGCTGAATACATCATATTTTTCAGGTATCCATAAAAGTTATTGTGGATAATGAAGTAAAAAGTGTATTTCAAAGTAACACATGTGCAGTTGCTTGTTATTATATATTTCCTCAAATAATGTCTTCAAAAAGAACAAGTCATTTCATGTGAGGAATGAAGAGTTTTGACATTCAAAAGAGGCCCACTTGTTCCAAAATGCTGGGAAGTACTGTTCCAGACCCTTCCCTTTAAAGATGCTGTGGAGAATTCAGCACCGTGCGAGGCTTTCTTCCTTGTTGACTGGTAGTCAAAGCAACAGTGCCTTGGTGGGCATGTCTGTCGCTTATTCTCTCCCAAATCTCCACGTTACTGCACATTTACATCACGAGGGCAGGGCTACTGTCAGACTTCAAGACATTCACAGGAAATTATAAGCCTTCATCCTCTCTCCACCCTTCCTATCGCAAAGCTGTCACATCACTGCACTTTCCAGTTCAGCCTTGGGTTGTAATGATAGTCATTGCCCTAAGAATTCTTTCAAATGACAGGCTTACCTAATAGGGAGAAACTCACACAAAAGACTGTCAATACAGGAGCAATGATTGAACACTGATAGTTTAAAACATGAAAATGGCACGGTGAATGTGGCAGGGACTTGACTTAAAGCATGTGCCTTTGTCCGAAATATTTACAGTGGCAATATTCTATATTCTATAGAGCTGTTGAAGCTCTTTCTCTTTAACTGTGTTTATTTTATCTCAGTCTCTTAAAGGATGACATCTCTAATGTATGGGCAGATACTAGGTAAATTATTTAAGGATTTAAATGTTATGGGGACGGAGAGTGGAGGTGGAGAAGAGGGTAGCAATAGACCAACGGTGACTTCACTTAGACTCTATCTGCTCACAAGCGATGCTCACAGTCTTGACTTAAGCCACGAGGCTGGCACAGCTTTCTGGGACTTAGAGAACTACTAGGGGACTCTGGAAAGGATATTAACTAAGTATTTGTTGACGAACATGTAAATGAATGAACGCTTCACTCTCATGCTCCCTTGAGCACCCCATGCTCCTACAGCAATGAACTGCTGGCTATTTCCCAAGCATCATGCCTCCTCTTGCTGTAACTTCTGGCTGCCTTATCTCCCCATGCAGCCTGGCAAGTTCCTATTCAACCTTCAAGTCATGACTCCAGCTCCATGCTCTGGCAGTTCTGTATATATGCAAATGATGGCACAAACTCATTATGTTGCCGTTCTCCCAACTCAAGTGCCCAAATCATCTATTTTAATCACCACAGCTAAGCAACTGGTTGGTGCCTGACACACACCCAGGTATTCGGTAAGAGACCACCAAATCACCTTGATGCTATTTGACTTCTCCAGTGCTTCCCAAATAGAAATTCCCTCACTGGAGGAAATCTCTTCTGTAATTCTTTACTCAGGCACCTTCCTTCCCTAGAATACACCAGGTGACCCTGGCCCAGAACTGATCAGGCAGCAAGAGGAGTAAGACATAGTAGTAATGGGGTTAAGAGCAGCAGTTCTCAACCTGTGGGTTGCGACCCCTTTGGGGGTTGAACGACCCTTTCACAGGGGTCGCCTAAGACCATGCGAAAACACATCTATAATTACATATTTTTGTGTGATTAATCACTATGCTTTAATTATGTTCAATTTGTAACAATGAAAATACATCTTGCATATCAGATATTTACATTATGATTCATAACAGTAGCAAAATTACAGTTATGAAGTAGCAACGAAAATAATTTTATGGTTGATGGTCACCACAACATGAGGAACTGTATTAAAGGGTCATGGCATTAGGAAGGTTGAGAACCACTGGTTAAGAGGAGGGAGGGAAGACCATTCGAAGAAGTGTAGCTGGGGATGACATCATCAGGTCTATCTGTGGGAAAGAAACATAGTTTGGAGGAAATAACATTTTGAAGTAGACAAGAAGGTCATTGTGATAGTCCAGAAAATAATGATGACAGATGACTACAGGTATTAAGTGAGATCAGGCAGTGGGAATAGAGAGGTGGGGATATATATTATATATTTCAGGTGGCAATTATAGGATTTGGTGGCTGACTTAAAATGGCACAGAGGATGGGAGAAGTCTAGGACGACTCTAAGGCAGTTAGCTCAGGCAAACTGCGTGTCCTTCAAGACAATAAGGGATATGGTAGGATTAGGTCTGGGGAAGGGGAAGGGCCCTGGGTTCAGTTTTGCTTTTATTGCAAACAAGGAACCCGTGGATCGTCCAGAAGATGTCAACCAGTCTACAGTTTTGGAGCTCAGCAGCACCATCTGAACTGAAGATACAGATTTCAGATTAGCAAGCAAGTGGACATTGAAGGTTAACTTATGACTTATGTTACCCAAGGGTAGTGTATAGAGCAGAGGTTCTGTGGGGCTGTGGTAGGAAGGGGTTACCCGGGAGTTTCCCTACTTGAAAACTGTCAGGGAGTTAACTTAAAAGACAAGCCTGCCCTTGCTACATGTGTGGCAGCAGTTTTACACAAGTGAGAATCATTGAGAGTGTAGCCTCTCCCCATGGGTGGCCATGTGTACCTGACCCTGTGTGTGTTGGACACCTTCTCCCATCTTGTGAACCATCTGTCACACTGGAGACACCTGCTTACACACTTGCCTTTCCTGGTAGATTCTGCCCCAGGGCAGGGCAGGGATTTTATCTTGCTCAAATCTGTGTCCTGGGACTTAGCACACAGCAGTCAAATGTTTTATGAGTCACGTGATCTCATATACTGTTGATTTCATGAGGTGTGGTTTGCCACTGAGATTGTACACGCGAGGACAGGAGGCCTCACGGGGCTAAGTAACTGGTCCTGCCACAGACCCCTCGCCCCGATGCCAATCCAGTTGCTTCCGCTCTAGCATTGCCTCTGCTCACTCCTCGACCTGCCACCGCCACCTAAAAGCCGGGACGAAGGTCACTCGGCAACAGCAACTGGCTGCGGCCTTTCTGGAAGACCTTGTCCGGTTAAACGGAAAGACGTGCCAGCTAAGCCTTGTGGGGCTTGCCTTCTCTCGCCGACTTCTGGAAACATCAGGTGAAAGAACAGGAAGCCAGGCCTACTTCACGCCCGACTCACTGCGCAGAGGCCCAGTCTAGATGGGAACACAGGAGACATGACTAACTGGAGGAGAAGCGTGTGTCATAGCTCTTGATAAGCCTCACCCCTTCTATCTGATTAGAAAAGGAGTTGCGTTCACATGCTTCTTGTATGAATAATACAACGTTCTTTTTTCAAACAGGAAATTAAAAACCTTTGCTGCTTTTTTAGACTCCCCTGAACCAAACATTTGATATGTGGGTGCTGTATTTATTATAAAAATATACACTAAGAAAAAAACAAAGAAAACGCTGAGAAAGAAAGTGGGGCCTAGAAAGGAAATCCTATGATTGAAAAGCGCAGCGAGGGACCAGAACATGAGGCAGGGAGGGGCACACACATAAGGATGGGTGCCAGAGACCAACCCTACCGATATGAAAAGATTGACTAAGGCCCACTGTGCACCAGGAGGGGGAAGGAATGCTCTCTCCTCCCCTGCAGGCCTGGAAGCCGTCCCAGAACGTCC